TATATATATGTATTTTTAAATGAGTAATAATTAACTTTATTGTCCAAATCAGAATGTTTCTCTGAAAATGCACATGTTAATCATTTTAATTTATTCACTCATCAATTCTGCAAAGTTTTTGATCTCCAATTACATGTATGTGCCAAGTAGTAGTGTATGTGCTAGAGGTGAAACCACATAAAATGATGTTCCTAGCTTCAGGGATTTTGCATTCTATTGAGAGAATACACATAAGGTAAAGTAAAAGTTCTATAAACTGTTTCTCAATTTCACATGTGGAATTACGTTGTAATGATACAAATAAAATGTATAGTGTATTACTCTGCTCCTGTAATATAGCATTATAGGCTATGCAGTGATTGATGATACAACAGATACTTATGTAGCAATTAGTGTAAGCTAGGTTCTATCCTAAGTGTCTCATAAATTAAACTAGCTTGTTTAATCTTTGTAAGAACCCCATAAGATATGGTTATTACTCATTTATAGAGAAACAGTAGGGTACAGAGAGATTACATCCAACGTTAATGACTATTACAATCAGGATTTGGGTTTATAGTAGTGTGACCTAAAGCACCCATCCTTTTGACCACTGTACCATATTACCCTTTAAAATTAACATTGTGACAGAGTTTTGTTTGCTTTATGGTTGTCCAGGGGATGACTTATCTAAAGCCTTCTTACTTCTCCAACAGTTTAGGTTATTTTTCCATATTCCATACTAAAGAAAGAATAGTTGAATAATTAGACCATTTTCTATTTTGACCCTGAACTAAACAAAATGAAAAATAAATGTTATCTTATATCAGCATTTTTTATCAGCTCTTACTTATCTTTACGATTAGATTTAGTTTTTATCTAGCCAAAGTACAAAATAAATTATTACAAGGTTGTTACAGACCTGCCTTCTGGTTTCTAAAAAGTCAGCAGTTCAGTAGCAATATCGATAAGTTCCTGTTTATCTCATTTTTAAAAATTATACTAAATAGTAAAAGAAAAAGGAAAGTAGAATAAAAGTCATGAATTCTGGAAAGCAGATAGTTTTTGTAGCATCAGGAGTTACATGAGCTGGGCGTGGTGGCCCGCTTGTAATCCCAGCACTCCAGGAGGCTGAGAGTGGAGGATCACTGCAAGTTTGAGGCCAGGCTGGGCTATATAAGGGTCTTCAAGGCCAGCCTGAACTGCATAGTAAGACCCTGTCTCAAAAAGACCAAAAATTTTCATGAATTTGTCTAAGGGCTTAGTAATCTGACTTACTTTTCTTATGATTACATCTATGTGTTATATGTTGTTTGAAAATATTAATTTATTGATCTCTTTCTTTTATTTTTTAGTATACTGTGTGGAATTTTGTTCCAAAAAATTTATTTGAACAATTCAGAAGAGTGGCAAACTTTTATTTTCTTATTATATTTTTGGTTCAGGTAAGCTTTATCATCTTTTGGTTGTTTGTAAATGTGGGTTCTAAAAAGATGTCTTTGAACAGGGAAAGATTACATTGGTTTCTTAATCATTTTACAATGGGATCATTCTTTTTCTACAAAGCTTTCCTATTCAGTGAATAATCTAAATCACATCTAGATTTCTAAAATATAACCTAGGAATTTTAAGGCCAGTTATATTTTTTTTCATTGTGTTACTATCGTGTTACTATAGTGTTGATCATTATAATCTAAGCCAATCATTTTTCCGATGCCTGCCTCAGGACATAAATATTTTGGTTGCTAATATATAGTACATGTTGTTAGCAAGCCTGCTTATGGACTTTTTAAAATGTAAATTCTATTTTTGGGGGGAACATTTGTATGAAATACTTTCCTTAAATCTAAATTTGAGTTTACCTGGGAGAAGTGACATATATATTTAGTACCAGCTTCTTGGGAGGGTAAGGCAGGAGGATTACTTGAGCCCAGGAGTTTGAAACAGTTAGGGCAACATAACAAGACCCATCTCAGACAAACAAATCAATAAATTTTGCTTTAATCTAAAAATTTTTAAACAGTGCTAATTTTTAAACATCCCAGTAAATATAGATTTTGTTGTTGTTGTTGTTTTGGTTTGGTTTTTTTTATTCCAGTACCGGGAATCGAACTCATGGCCTTGCACTTGCCAGGCAGGTGCTGTGCCACTGAGCTAAATCCCCAGCCCCTAATATAGACTCTTATATTGGAGACCCTTTTCTTAGCTTAAATTTGTATTTATGGGCTCCCAGCCTTTCACATTGTGCTTTTCTTATGTATCACATTATCAAGAAAAAAACCCATGAAACTTGCATATTAGTCAAGATGTAAAAATAGCAAATATTTTCTTTTAAGGAGGTAATTCTTAACCAGGCATGGTGGCACACATTGTAATCCCAGCACTTGGGAGGTTGAGGCAGGAGGATCTTTGCTAGTTCAAGGCCAGCTTGGGCTACCAAGTGAGCTTGAGGCCAGCCTGAACTGCATAGCAAGACCCTGTCTCAAAAAGACAAAAAAAAGTAATTCTTTTATGAAAAACCTTACATACTTCTTTCAGTATGATACTGAATTTTTGTGTTCACTCTGAACTTTTCAGTAGAACCAGGGATTCTAAAGAGGGAATAATCAAGTAATCATTTTAAAACTTGAGAAAACATACTCTTTTGAAAACTTACTTTCCTTCATGAAGAGAGGGAAATTCTGATTTTATGTCAGTAGAGCATCTGCTTGGTTTTCTTGGAAAAGTGAGAAATTATACCAACCATACCCACAGTGTGTGCATGCATTTGTGAAATTGCTCACTGCAATCCGAAATTTAGCATGTCTGTGGAATAGAACAAATTAATTTGCCTACCCAAAGTAAAGGAACTTTAATAAATCATCCTATAAGTGTTCTAGCTAACTGTATGTAATTACTCCAAATACTTCTTCTCTGGCAGTTTACTCAACTTTCAGTTGTATAATTTACATTGTAATTATAGCATCACTTCCCTAGCTATCTTCCTCTGGCTCTGCTGGAACAAAATCACTTAGAGGAGAAAACCTTTTCATATTCCTATTCCTAGCTCTTTCTCCCCAGTGTTAGGTTTATTCTGAATCCTAGGGTAAAAATTGCTGATGAAATTTTTAGCATTTTTCAGGATGTGCAAAGAAATGTGAAATGAGAATTGAGCAGCTGCAGCTCCACTACTTGGAAATATTAAGGAGGAAATTAAGCACCTACGTGCTGAGAAAGCAGACTGACTGACCACTATGGCATATGTATTGGTGTCCAATAAATGTAATTATTCCAATCCCAGATAGTAGTCAACAAAGTAAAGTTGTGAACTCAGATATACTCCCTGCATAATATTGTGAGATTTTAGATATTAATAGCATGACATGTACAATATGAAAATATAATACTCTGCATTTTTTTAAATCTAGCTTATGATTGATACACCTACCAGTCCAATTACCAGTGGACTTCCATTATTCTTTGTGATAACAGTAACCGCCATAAAGCAGGTATGAAATACTTCCTATTGTTCTTTTCCCCATTCATTGAGAAAATTGCTAAATATTTCCATTCCAAACTAATGTGTATCGTTGTAAACATAATGTCCATCAGAAAACAGTAAATTTGTTTGATACATAATAAAATTAAACTAAAGTAGCCACTGCGTTAGATTTCAGATACCTGATAATTCATGAATGATTGCTACTTTTAAAATACTGTATTACCTTTGCAGAGCGAGGAAATATCTAGAAACAAGAGTTATATGTACAAGACAGTTTACATATGAAACATTATTATAATCAACTTTGTGGGGTTTGGTGATATTTAAAGGAAGTACAGTTTCAAAAAGATACGTTTATGTGATAAATTTTCACTTTATGTGATGTAGGGGTAGGCTATATATAGTTTGACATGGAAATAAAATTGATAAAATTCTTAAATTTCTGGGATGAAATATACTTTATCACATAGGAGAATGAGGAGAGCCAATAAATAATAAAGAATAAAATGAAAGATAGACATAGGGAGATAGATCTAGGAAGTAGATACAGAAAGGTAGAGGATCTTTCTCAAATGGGAAGGGGATCAACAGATGGAGGGAAGGAGGGGGAAGGAGTTGATGTGTTACGGGTGCTCCCCACCTCACCACAATTGTAAACATTATGCACTGCACATATATACAGATAGAAATTTTTTAAAAAATGAAATAGCTGTTTTGGGGAGACAAGTTGTATATGAGGTAGTTGGGAACTGGAGTTGTAACTGATCCTTCATTTCCTGCAAAACTTTGCTGAATAC